TGCTGAGGACAGAGGGCACTGATAGAACTGCCTGGCTCCCAGGTTTCCTTGCCAAAAGGTAAGAAAAGCATAAACTACACAAAATCATGCCATCCACATAATGGAAGGCAGGGGACCCCCAAAGTGCAAAGTATCTATAAATTTTAAAAGAACATAGCACTGAACCCCAGCCCCCTAGCCCCCTCCGTTCCCCCACAGAGGTTAACCCAAGTGAGGTCAGAGATGGGCCAGCCAAGGCCGCGGGAGAGCAGGGCCCTGAGAAGCGGCTGTGTAGGCGGGTTGGGGTGGCCAGGGCCCGGTGATGGGGGCGATGGGCCCAGAGACTGATGGGGGCTCCCGGGAACGCCCAGCTTCCGGGGAAGAAAAGGGCACAGAGTTGGAGGGGGCTCCTTTAGGCAACCGAGCGTCAAGGTGGGGTCCTGCCAGTCAAAGGTACCTGAACGTCCCTCTGCCGCCAGAAGAGGCACCATTCAACAGGAATTGTGTGTGTGTGTGTGTTTTAAAGGCAAACCCAATAGCATTAAATTTACAAGAGAAAAGAGCAGTCACGCATACAGAGCCGGGCAAGAAAACATTCAGAATTGACATTTCACACATCAACTGAGGAAGACGCCCATCCACGGAGCAGAAGAGAACTTCAACCTGAATTAGACGCGCCCCAGCAGGCTTTGAAAACACAACATCCCCCCAAAATCAGAGAGAGAACACACGAATGGACAAATAACAGGGGGGAACAGAGAGAGAGAGAGAGAGCTTGTCGAACGTAGGAACAAACCTTTTAGGAATCCAAAGATCTCTCAGAAGTGAGGGGGGAAATTACAAGGTGCCCAAGGCACTGTAAATGCAAAGGAAGTCGGGGGCACTGAGTCAAAGCATCAGAGAAACCAAGGAAATAAAGAGAAAGAAAGAGAGCCCAGCGGCGAGGCTCAGGGGCTGAGCGTGGGCCGTGAACCAGGAGGTCGCGGTTCGATCCGCGGTCAGGGCACGTGCCCGGGGTGCAGGCTCCTTGANCAGCCGATCAATGACCCTCATCATTGATGTTTCTCTCTCTCTCCCTCTCCCTGCCTCTCTCTGAAATCAATAAAGACAGAATAAAAGAGGGGGAAGGAAAAGCAGTGAAAGTGGAAGGCAGGAAACAAAGACTAGTATTTGCTTCCTGGAGCCTCTAAGTAAGAAAAGCAACAGTGGAATCGGCTAACATCCCTGCCTCTTGGTCAGATGTTTCGTTTCTGCTCATGACCGGTACTTCGAAAGTGATATTGGATTGAGTGCTACTGGATAAAAGAGAAAACGAAATAATCTTAAAAAGCGAAAGTGGGAGCTCATCAAATTATCTTAAAGGCGCGTTGGGGGAGGCGCTTCGGTGCCTGCGAGCCTCCTGGTGGTGCCCACGGGCCTGACGTTCCCACAGCGCTTTCCCCGGGCAGGCAGCCGTGGTCTCTCTGATGGAAAAAGATTTTGTAGGAAAACACGAGATTGAGGGAAACATGTAAAAATTGCTCTGAGAAACTTGTGAAAAAATAGAGAAAACAAGAGCCAAAGCTAATAGCACCTGACTTTCCTTGGATCTCAGGTTGTCTTGTGATTTCAAAATCAATGACCGGTTGATTGGCTCTTGTATTTCTCTGTTCACTCACCTGCAATTTCAAATGCTGGTGCATCCAAAATGCTGTTAACTGCAGTTTATTTTAGGAAAACAAAGTTACACGTGGAAAAACCTTTATTACAGCAAGTAAAATACAAATCGGTGGTAAGTATTGTGAGAAATAATTGCTGCCTGCTTTCCGAATGAGAAATTGACTTCCAAGAAATGCATTAAATGTTAAAAGAATTAAAAGCATAAACAAAGGCATACGGAAAAAAACACGTAAGTACAAAAAATTAGATGTCAGCGCAGGACCACTTTGATGGGACCACTAATGTGTTTTAGTTATATTTTCATTTAAATTTAACGTTACTTTTACCATATAATACATTCTTATGGGTTAAAAAAAAAACAGTTTTGAGACATTGAAACTTGCAGCCTTTCTGCACCCAACGCCTCCCCCACAAAGAATCATTCTTAGTCCCCAATGGATCCGCATCATATTTCTGCTCCCAGGAGAAACTCTGAGGTGCCCTAAGTGGACTAACAGCAGGCCAGAGGCGGAAAGAAGAGACAAGAAGGGGTAGTCGGTCAACGCTGCTCACATTCCTGACGTGTGCTGGACTTTGAATTAACTTCCAGGCGGCGATTCCCGAATTATCTGAAGAGAACAGCCATGCTCCACAGGCTGATGCCCACAACCAACAGAAAGGAGTGAATGCATCTTCCTGCGGGCTCTGCACCGAGCCCAGAACTAACCCCTAGCGTTTCAGCACAATCCCTATCGAAATACCAATGACGCGCTTCACAGAACCAGGACAAATAATTCCAAAATTCATATGCAACCACAAAAAAACTCGACTAGCTACAGCAACCTTGAGAAAGAAAAACAAAACTGGAAATATCACACTACCTGATATCAAACTACGTACAAGGTTATAGAAATCAAAACAGTATGGCACTGGCATAAAAACAGACACATAGATCAATGGAGCAAAGGAGGCAAGAACATACACTGGGGTAAAGACAGTCTGTTCAATAAATGGTGCTGGGAAAATTGGACAGATACATTCAAAAAATGAAACTAGACCATCTTCCTACACCACGCACAAGAATAAACTCAAAACGGATTAAAGACTTACATGTAAGTTGAGAAGCCATAAAACTCCTAGAAGAAACATAGGCAGTAAAATCACAGACATTTCCCAATATTTTTTCTGATCTATCTCCTCGGGCAAGGGAAACAAAAGAAAAAATAAACAAGTGGGCCTACATCAAAAAAGTTTTTACACAGCAAAGAAAACCATCAATGAAAGAAAAAAACCTACCAATTAAAATAAGATGTTCACCAATGATACCTGGTAAGGGGTTAATATCCAAAATATATAAAAAACTCATAGGACTTAACACCTTCCCCCCAAAAAAACACAAAATCCTATTTAAAAATGGGCAAAAGATCTGAACAGACACTTCTCCAAAGAGGACACATAGATGGACAAGACATATAAAAAGATGCTCAAGGTCACTAATCATCAGAGATGCAAATTTAAACCACAATGAGATTTCACCGCACACCTGTCAGAGTGGCTGCATCAACAAATCAACACACAAGTGTTGCGGAGGGTGTGGGGAAAGGAGACTCTCGGGCACTGGTGAGAATGGAGCCTGGTGCAGCCACCATGGAAAACAGTATGGAGGGTCCACAGAAAATAAAAATAGACCTTATGACCCAGCAATTCCAGTTCTGGGTATTTATCTCAAGAAACCCAAAACACTAATTCAAAAAAATATATGCACCCTGTGCTCACTGCAGGGTTATTTACAGTAGCCACGGTCTGGAAGCAGCCCAAGTGCCCATCAGTAGACGAGGGGATAAAAAAGCTGTGGTACGTCTATACAGTGGAATATTACTTGGTTGTTAAAAAGAATAAAATCTTACCACTTGCGACAACACGGATGGCCCTAGAGGGTATTATGCTAAGTGAAATAAGTCAGAGAAAGGCAAATACCATGTCCCTTCACCTGTATGTAGAATTTAATGAATAAAAATAAATAAACAAAATAGAAACAGACTCGTAGATGCAGAGGAGAGGAGGTTGGGGGGCTGGGGGGAAAGGTGACGGGATTGAGAAGCACAGAACAGTCACAGGGATGTAAGCACAGCACAGGGAACACGGTCAGTAATATGGTAATAGCTCCATGTGGTGCCAGGTGGGCACTGGAAATATCAGGGGGTCCCTTTGTAAATTATATGATCGGTGAACCACTATGCTGTACCCCTGAAACCAATACAAAATAATATTGAATGTCAAGTTTCATTAAAATTAAAAAAAAAAAAAAAGATAGCCAAAGACTGGGATTAAACATTTGCAAGTCATAAAACTGATGAAGGATTTGTATCCTGAATACATAAAGAACTCTTTCAACTCAATGGAAAGGCAAACAACCCCAAAAGAGACTCAGAAATGGCTAATATGAAAAGACGCGGAGACACCCCATCAAACCTGCTGGAACGTCTACAACCAAAAGGAAGGCAACAGGGGACAGTGAGAATGCTGTAGAGGAAAACTGGACCCTAATCCACTGCTGCTGGGGGCAACAGCCACTGTGGAAACACTCTGGCAGTCTCTCTTTTTTTTTTAAATCTTCACCCAAGGATATTTTTTTCCATTGCTTTTCGGAAGGAGGGGCAGAGAGAGAGAGAGAAACATCGATGTGAGAGAGACACATCCACTGGTTGCCTTCTCCAGCAGAAGTTGTGGCACATTCACACCGTGGAATACTACACAGCTGTAAAGAAGAAGGATCTCGTACCCTTTGGGACAGTTTGGATGGACCTGGAGAGTATTATGCTGAGTGAAATAAGCCAGGCAGAGAAAGACAAACATCACATGATCTCACCTATATGTGGAATCTAAAGAACTTAATAAACTGATGAACAGAATAGATTCACTGACATGGAAGCATAGATGAGACCGATGAATGTCAGAGGGATGGAGGAGGGCGGATGGGTGGAGGGGAGAGAGTAACCGAGGAATTTATGTGCAAATATACACAACCCAAGGACACGGACAATGGTGGGGAGAGGGACTGGGGAGGGGGAAGGAATGGGGGGGAAAGGGTCATTGGGGAGAAAAAGGGACATTTGTAATATTTTAAACACTAATAAAATTAAAAAAAGAAAGAAAGAAATTCCATATATACATTAAAAAAAAGAAAAGAAAAAAAAAGAAAAAAAGAAATATTCAGGTAGCTGAGATAAAAGCTGAGTTCACTTCAAATCGTCTAATTACAACCTCCATCGTTTTCCACTTAGTGAATCTGTGGAAAGACTTAAGCTTAGGCTCTCTTCATTCACTAAATAAAATATAAAAACTAGGTAAGAGATTGTTCTGCGAAAGTTCTGCAGTCTCACCTCCATCAGAACAAAGAGCGCTGCGAAGAACAGGAGAGTGGCCCATTCCACGCGGTGCAGAATTATCTCAAAATCGTGGACGTCCGCTAAAATTAGCAGCCAGATGGCACCCAGAATGGCAATCCACCCTGCAAGGCAAATAAACGGACACAGAGCCGAAGCTCAATTAACACCCTCGTTCATTTTTCATCTTCCGGTTGCCTTTTTCCTTATTGAGGATAACTCATTCTGCAAACTGAACATATTTTAAATGTACATTTATATTGTGGATAATTAGATGCCCATGAAACCAACACGACAGTCAAGATAATGAACCCGGTTTGATTCCCGATCACGGGCATGTACCTGGGTCGCAGGTTTGATCGGGGCTTGTGCAGGAGGATCAATGTGTCTCTATCACATCAACGTTTCTCTCTCTCTTTCTATCTCTCCCCTTCCCTTCCACTCTCTCTAAAAAAATCAATGGATAAAATGTCCTCGGGCGAGGAACAGGGTTTCTCCTCCCGCTCTGCCAGTTAGCGCAGCATCATTCTAAAACCCCGTTTGATTAAGGACTGCTATCTCGGCACTAAAAACACCTGCACACAGGCAACAGTGAAATTACCCAACAACAGGACCCCGAGGGACCCCGAGAACACCAGCAGTTTCTACACCGTAATTGGGGAAAACATCACAGAAAAGTCTCCAGAACCGAAGCCTAATCAAACACATTGTGAGAGAACCTAGGGGGATATTCTGAATTGATTATCCGAGGGGGGCTGGAACACAGCTCGTCAAGGTTGCAAACGTTAGGGCCAAGGTAACATTTTAAAGCCAGCTCACCAATGCTTTCTACGGTTTAATTATCAGTTCTCTACAACCCTAAAATCCTTACGTTGGGAAGAGCACATTTTTATAAACTTCGTGTCGCAATTCGATAAAGCCTGACTTGACCTGAAATGAGGTTTTGTGGTCTTGTAGAAACGGTCCTGTTTGGGTGCAGGGTTATCAGTGCCTGGGCCACAGGGAGCCTGCTCAGGACCTCCTGGGGGGGGAGGTGTTGCCTTACAGACCATTCAGTATGTGCCGTGAATCCTGTTTACAAAATACAAAGCCCCGGCTGGTGTGGCTCAGTGGTTAGAGCATTGGGCTGAGGGCCGGAGGGTAGTGGGTTCAATTCCTGGTCAAGGGCACATTCCTGGGTTGCAGGTTCAATCCCCGGCCTGGTACGGGGCACGTGTGAGAGGCAACTAATTGATGTGTCTCTCTCACGTCAACGTTTCTCTCTCTCCCTCCCCCCCCACTCTCTCTAAACGTGAATGGAAAAAATATCCTCACTTCTCGGGTGAGGATTTGTATGCATGCGTCTGAGTTTTGAAACATACCTGGCACCAAGAGTTGCAGGTGGGCCTGTGTGTAACCGCTGAGCAATCTGGGGTGAGCGCCAGAGTATGTTGTGAGCTAGAGACGCCCAAACGCCGATGGCTGTGAACATGACCCTGGCCCTCCCTTATCTGCTTTTCCTTCACTCTGCGCCATCTCCGCACACCTTTGGGTCCCTCGGGCTCCTCCTGTCTCCGGCCCAGAGCCCGTGGCCGTGGCCAGCTCAGCGTGGATGCGGCTCACACAGGTGCATCCTGACCGAGCCTGCCCTCGACCCAGAAGCCAACACCTGCCCCCACCTGGGCTTCTCTGCTGTGCGGCTTCGTGCATGGACCAGCCGAGCACACGTGCGAGCCGGTGTCCCACGGGAAGGGAACCCGGACCCGTGGGTGATGGGAGCCAATGGGTGAATGCTCCCTCCAGCCACAGGACCCCGTGGACGGTCCCGAGACACGACATGCCTCTTCTCAGACAGTCCTACGGGGATGGCAGGACCAGACGGCGCAGACTCGCTCCTTTTACCACTGTTTCCTGTCCCTCGCTTCTCAGACGAAGATCCCCCACACCTGCTTCTCTAGACTCAGGCGTTGAGTCTAAAGAGCCCAGGCGATGTCAGCCACACAGGAAATTCTCGCTCCAAGTTGGAATCTATAGAAATCACTAAGAACTTTGTCCTTGCATTTGATAAACCTCTATTTTTTTTAGAGCGAGAGAGAGAAACATCGATGTGAGAGGAGCATCAATCAGCTGCCTCCTACATGCACCCGACTGGGGATCGAACCTGCGGCCCCTCGGAGCCCAGGACGATGCCCAACCGAGTGAGCACACTGGCCAGGGCTGGTCAGTGCATGTTGCTCTACGAGAAGCTGATGCCCCTTCCGGCTGCAACGTCAAGTGAAAAGTTGAGCAACAAAACCCCACAACCGGGAAACTCACCGAGATCCAGATGAACGCCAGGGACGAAGGAGTTGAGGAAGAACATGAAGATGACGCACCCCAGCACCATCAGGCACTTGGCCAGCAGGACGCTGTCCGATATTCTGTGCTGTGGGAGAGGAAACGGTCATCGAACCCCTGCCGTGGTCCAGCGTCCATGTGACCGGAGCCACTCCGGACTGCTCCTGAGGATGAAACTACAGCATCGTGAACTTGAACAAGGGTAACGCGGAAATGTGTTAGAAGGAAAACCGTGCAGGTTCGGGATCAAGCGTCCAAAATCCTTATGAGCCCTTGGCCGGGGTGACTCCGTGGTCAGAGCATCCGCCCGCACACAGAAGGGTCAGGGGTTTGATTCCTGGTCAAGGGCACGTACCTGGGTTGCAGGCTCGACCCCTGGCCCCCGTCGGGGCTCGTATGGGAGAAAACCAACCCATGTGTCTCTCTCACATCGATGTTTCTCTCTCTCCCTCTCTCCTTCCCTCCCTTCCACCCTCTCTAAAAAAATCCTCAGATGATTAACCAAAAAAAACCCTTACAAAAAATAAACACGGTAACTTTAAGATGCGGTGTGATTCTTCTATGAGCACCTGGAGAAATGGCTTTTTGATACCGAGCACATGAAGCTGTTCCCAGCCCCACTGCAAAGCCACTGGGGAGACACCACGTGAGGTCCAGGACCTGGCCCTTCAAGACACGTGTTTCCACGGGGACTGCATGTTCGTGGCATTTTAGCTCCACTCTCCTGCCCAGTGTGCGAATCCTTGCTCAGCCAGGGCTGAGGTTGACCTACAGGTTCCTACAGTAAAGTGAGTTCTAACCCGGTCCTTTCCCCTAACGCTCTCGGAGGCCTGGGGAAGGCATTTAGCTCTCTTCTGATTGACAGGACGACACCCACGGGAGCCCGCCCTGGTCACCTGGGGAGGAGAGAGGGAGCCAGAGGTGCTCTGCGCCCTGCAGCACCTTCGTTAACCTCCCAGGTGCAGACCTGTGGCCCGTGGGCCTGAGCCACAGAGCGAGCCAGGGCGAGGGCCCCCAAGGGTGCTGTGCTCCGAGGTCCACGCTGTGTGGGGCTGGGGCAGGGAGTGAGGTCCCCGAGCCACACAGATGGGCACCCGGTGGTCCCGCCCCACTAACCAGGCCCCTGTGAGAATCATGCTGGGAACTGACAACCGCGCTGTGTGTGGTCCCGCAGGCACATCCGTCCGTCTGTGTCCACCCAGAACCGGAATTCGATGGACACAGACATCCAGCTGTGGACATGGGCCAGGTAAGCGTGCAGGTGCGCACACACAGCCCGCCGTCCACGTCGCAGAGGCTCTGGCTGCAGCCCTGGCCCCCCGCTCGCAGGCCAAGGGGTCACCGCCTCCGCCTTCCTCCTTCCCGGCCTCTGCCACAGCTCGGCCCGGCCACCTTCCCCCCTCCGAGGGCCTGACGCTGGGTGACCGAGAGCCAGGAGGAAGGGGCAGGCGCCTGGCCAGGAGCAGGGAAGGTGCGGCCGACCTCCCTGCAGCCACCCTACCCACGGAAGGTGGCACGACCACCGCCAGCCCCAGGACCGGGCACGGAGGGAGCAGGCAGCTCCGAGAATGTTCCAGGGTCACCAGGCTGGTCTAAGAGGAGGCGACCCGAACTTCGTGTGTGTTGGCTACTCTGGGTGTCTGTCCGATTTGTGCCTTCGGGTTGTTATCCGGGCTGCATGGGGAGAGCTCTCAGGGGTCCTGCCTGGCGCCCGGCCTCTCCCTTCCACGTCGCCCGGTGCTCGCCCGCCAGGTACCCAGGCAGCGCCAGGTCTGTTCCCTAACACAGGGCCACAGCCCTGCAGCCCAGAAAGGTGGGCGGGGCCTGTCCTGTAGTGGGGGCTGTTGCAAAGTGGGCGGGGCCGTTGCAAAGTGGGCAGGGCCTCCCTGAAGCAAAGTGGGCGGGACTTGTCTCAAAGTGGGAGGGTTTTTTATCAACCTGGGCCCAGAAGCCACGCCTTCTTCCTTAATCCTGCCCAGACTGGGTAAAGGGACCACAAGCCCCAACCCCCAAAGAACACATCACCCACCAGGACCCCAACACCTGCATCTCCTTTAGCCAAGGACCAAATGTTCCCGTCCTAATTAGAGAGAGTAGATACTCAATCTCCCTAGGAGAGGAACCTCCCAATACCAGGGAGACCCAGCAGGTCCTGAGGGGACCTCTCTGGCCGGGGACAGGGCACCACATGTCCTTGGGTGGGCTGAGAAAGTCCACTGAGGCCGGAAGATGATCCCAAAGCCCAAAGTGATCTTTGCCTCCAGAAGTCAGAGCCATAGGACAAAACACACACACATCCCTTCTCTGGCCCTAATGCCTGCCTCGGCCTCCACCGCCTAATCTGAAACTGGGAACCACCACCTGCCTTTGGGGATCAGGAGCCACTGATGTCAGCCAACCTTCCCTGCAGCCACGTGAACCACAGACAGGGCCACCCTACTGAGAGGAAAGGTCGAGTTTAACCATTCGATTTGTGGACAAATAAACCTACCATGTCTGCAAAATGTGTTTCCCCTTAACTCCTGGAAATAACTTACGTCTCGTGTACGACGGCAGGAGTAAAGAGAGAGATGGTTTTCGGTTATAATGTCACGTGAAACAAAGAAAAGGGAGCAGTACCTTTTTCTGTAGCTCCTGGATGTTGGCCTCCCAATTCTTATCTTCCTGTGAGATTTGTCTAAAGTGGAAGGAGGAGACGCGTTAGTTTTCTGGTGAGACCGAGCAGGGAGGTGAGCAGAGTGTGGCCAGCAGCTCGTGGTGCACTGGACACGTCCACCGTGACACCTGATGGGGCCACGTAACAAGCCACGTGGAAGGTGGCCAGTTCACAGATTGGGAAACATGCTTGCTCTGTATTTCCAAAGAAAAAACAACACACAAAATGATGGGAACGTTTGATGAAACGTGTGGAGCATGAACAAGGGACTCGGCCCAAACGTGAACAAGGGACTGAGGAGCGCTGAGCCACCCTTGCTCTCCTCGCCTCGCTTCCTACTTCTACTGCCCTGAATTTGTTTTTGCAAAATGAGGATTTGATATAATTACAACTCAGCTCGCTAAAGGATAGAACAGTAAAAGAAATGCCACTAGCTTTGGTGGCGACTTTGATTCACTAGAAGTCGATTTTGTTGTTGTTAATCCTCAGCTGAGGATATTTTCCTATTGATTTTTAGAGAGTGTGAAAAGGAGGGAGGGAGGGGGAGAGAGAGGAACATCAATGTGAGAGAGAAACACATCGATGGGTTGCCTCCTGCACATGCCTCAACCAGGGCTGATGATCGAACCTACAACTCAGATATACTCCCTTGACCGGGAATCGAACCTGAGACCCTTTGGTGCAAGAGCCAATGCTCTAACCACTGAGCAACACCAGCCAGGGCTGGAAATCAATGTTTAAGGAACTCCCCCTCCTCTGCTCATGGTGTCTCCCATCTGCAGCCCGGTCACCCTCATTTGTCCCAACCTGCTGCTCCGTGTTAACCTCTCCTACCGTCCCCTCATTTCTGCTTTATTTTATCTCCCTCTGATCAGGGAAAGGCAGCTTTGTGGTGGAGAATCTCATTTTAATGAGCACTCACGCGTCATAAGCATCAGAGGAGGCCGACCACGGAGTCCAGGCCCTAAAGCGAATCACAGCAGACCAGGCAAGCGATGCCGAGGGCAAGTTTTAAAAGAAAATGTAGAAACAACCCTGGCAGCTGTGGCTCGGTGGTTAGAGTGTCGTCCCACACACCCAAGGGTTGCAGGCGTCTCTCTCACATCAATGTTTCCCTCCTCCCACCCTTCCCTCTCTCTTTCTCTCTCTCTCCCCCTCCATCCCTCCCCTAAAAAAATCAATAAACAGCCTGGCCAGGCGTGGCTCAGTGGTTGAGCATCGACCTAGGATCCAGGAGATTGAGGTTTGATTCCCGGTCAGGGCACATGCCCGGGTTGCTGGCTCCTCGATCCCCAGCAGGGGGCGAGCAGGAGGCGGCCGATCAAGGACTCTCATCATTGATGTTTCTCTCTCTCTCCCTCTCCCTTCCTCTCTCTGAAATCAATAAAGATATTTAAAAAAAAAAAATCAATAAACATATCCTCAGGTGAGGATTTTTTTAAAAAGGCAAGAAGCGAACTGACTACGCCCAGCTGTCCTTTGGTTTCCCTGCAAACCAACCGCAGGAAGGCTATCTCGTTAGATTAGCTTGTTGGGTTTATTACTCTTGCTGTGCAGCGAGTGTGACGCAGGGCAGTGGCACAGACAAGGCTGAGAGTGTCACTCAGCCCCGGTGCACGCTTTCCTCTCTGTGTTGCCCTGGGCATGTCACTCAAACTCTCTGAGCCCCGGTTTTCTCATCCTTACCGGGCTCCACAGAGCTCAGTGAAGGCAGATAAAATAACTCACCACAGGAGGCGTGGCACGGGGCATGGCCCAAACCTTGCTCACTAGCACGCAGCTGTGTCCTGTCTGTGGTCCCATGAAGTCACTTCGTGACCCACCTGGTCCACATATTGTGAGACATACGGGCACGGCTAGAGCGGTGGCTGCTGCAATCCCAACGCTGAGCACAACCGGCACAGAGGACACCCAGTGCTGTAAACCGAGTGTGGCCGAGCTCAGCCCCGCCTGGTACCTGTGGAAAGTGTGCAGTCTCCGGGCCAGCAGCCGCTCCAGCTCCAGCACCTTCCCCAAAAGCAGAGCCCGCACCGCCGTCTCCTCGCGGCTGGCCGGGCTGATGCGCTGCGCGGTCAGGCGCCAGACGTGGATTTCATGCTTCAGTTCTGCCATAAATGAAAGCCAGAGCTTGAGTCCCTGAAGCCTTAGAGGTCAGCAGACACCAGCTTCCCTCACCAGCTTCCCAGGACAAAAGACACCCCCCCATGATGATGATGATGGGGTAAGACAATGTGAGATATATAGATATATAGACTTATAGATGATATATAGATATACAGCTATATAGATATATAGACTTATAGATGATATATAGATATACAGCTATATAGATATATAGACTTATAGATGATATATAGATATACAGCTATATAGATATATAGACTTATAGATGATATATAGATATACAGCTATATAGATATATAGACTTATAGATGATATATAGATATACAGCTATATAGATATATAGACTTATAGATGATATATAGATATACAGCTATATAGATATATAGACTTATAGATGATATATAGATATACAGCTATATAGATATATAGACTTATAGATGATATATAGATATACAGCTATATAGATATATAGACTTATAGATGATATATAGATATACAGCTATATAGATATATAGACTTATAGATGATATATAGATATACAGCTATATAGATATATAGACTTATAGATGATATATAGATATACAGCTATATAGATATATAGACTTATAGATGATATATAGATATACAGCTATATAGATATATAGACTTATAGATGATATATAAATATATAGATATATAGACTTATATATGATATATAGATATATAGACTTATAGATGATATATAGGTATATAGATATATAGACTTATAGATGATATATAGATATATAGATATGTAGACTTATAGATATATAGACTTATGGATGATATATAGATATACAGCTATATAGATATATAGACTTATAGATGATATATAGATATACAGCTATATAGATATATAGATATATAGACTTATCAATGATATATAGATATACAGCTATATATATATATAGATATATAGACTTATAGATGATATATAGATATACAGCTATATAGATATATAGACATATAGGTATATAGAGAGATACACACACACACACAGCACCACCACCACAATGGGATGCTACTCAGCCATAATATAAATGAACTGTTGCCACTTGTGACATCCTGGATGGATCCTGAGAACAGCATGCTATCTGAACTCAGTCAGCCAGAAAAAGACAAAAACCATACGATTTCACACAGATATAAAGCAAAGAGCAAATGAACTAACAAAACAAACAAAAGCAAACTCACAGACACAGACAACAGAATGGTAGTTACCAGAGGGGCAGGGGGTGGGAGGGTGAAGTAAAGGGTTAAAATACACGGTAACAGGCAGTGAGCACGCAACAGGGTACGCAGACGTCAAGTTATAATGTTGTACACTGGAAATTATATAATATTATTAACCAGCGTTACCTGGTTAACAAATAAATTTAATTTTTTAAAAACTGAAGAGGCACAGCTCATGGATTGAGCCCCTGAAAGCTCGCCGAGCGCCAGGAGGTGTGCGGGACACACTGTGGGTACAGCGCCCCAGTGACCGACCCCCCCAACGCTCTACCTGTGAGGAAGCTCTTGGTTTTTATGGCAACTTCCCCTGGGGAAAAAATAACACGCTGGTGGTATGCTCGGGTCTCCAGGACGAGGGGCCACGCTCACCGACGATCTCACTGGGCTCCTTGTTGTAGAGCTTTCTGTTCCAGTAAAGGAGCCTGAGCAGCGGGAAGGAGAACAGGAACACAAAGCAAATCCCCACGAACATGTGCGCCGTGAATCCTGCGAAGTCCAGGCCCTGGGAACGGGAACGGGAGGTTCAACGATGGGCCTTCCCACCACCGTGCGGGCACCGAGTGGAGAGGGCGATGAGCTCCAACAACGGCCTCCGCGCCGCGTCCCAGGCTAGTGGGCGAGCACGCGGGGTCTGCGCTTCTGGGAGGCAGCCCTGTACCCTGGGACGTACCATCTTCCTCAGCTCCTGGTTGGAAACAATGATGACATTTGGTGGGTCCCCGATGGCGGTGGCCGCGCCCCCGATGTTGGTGAAGATCACTTCTGCAATCAGGACTTGTCTGGGGTCAAGGTTGAGCACCTCGCATAATCTGTTGCAAACAGAGGAAAATGGGAAAGGGCCGAGCGCAACCTAAATATTGTTAAAGCACAAGGGTGTAAAAGGGAGGCACACACACGTACGTGCATGCATACACATGCGTTGTGTGCACGTGTGCACATGCATGTTTGGACGTGCACACACGCACGTACATATACACACGTGTGCGCACTTGTGTGCACACATGTATGCATACACATGTGTTGTGTGCACCTACACGCCTGCTTGCGCGTGCACACATGTACACACATGCACGCACACAAACCTATGAGAAGGGCAATGCTGGGGGAGGAACAACACTACAGAGCCACAGGGAACAGCACGCACCCCGAATTCCACTTCTCTGAAAGTTTCCCCATCCCACCTGACCGTCAGTGTGAAATGTACCCTCCCCTACCCCCCCCCCC